CCAATGACGCGGCCGAGCATGCGGTGGCTGTACTCCCAAAGGTAAATGCCCTTGAACTCATCGACCGTCATGTTCTTGCGCGTCTGCCACTCGGGAAACGTCTTGTAGAGCTCAAACTCTTCGTTCCACTCTGCCGCAGTCATGGGCGGGAGACCGCCGTGCGGCTTCCACGTGACCATCGAGAGGCCCGAGCGCGTCAAGCGCGTCGCACCGCCCACTGCGACCATCGTGCCAACCATGCCGGCGCAGCCAAAGAGCCAAAAGGCGATCGGGCGGTTCGCCGCCACGTTCTCAAGCGTCGCCGCGACCGAGCTCTAATGCACAGCATAAGATCGAATTGCAAGAAGGTTCAAGATCGCACCATGAACTTGGGCTTGTTGAGCGCCGGCGCGAGGAGGCGCGCCGCCGGCGCGCGGCAAGCGATGGTTTGGTGCACCTACAGCGTTCCAATGCATAAGATTTCTGCTGCGTGCGGCGAGGCGTGTCGTCGTACAGAGGAGTGCACAATGCGCGACGAGCGCAAGACAGCGCGGGATCGGGCGAACATGGTCGGCAAGCTCTGCTTTGCAAGAATGGCCGCCAGCGCTGCAACAGCAATCCATGCCGTATCCGGATCGGTCGCACGCAACCCAGCCTTTCTTGTACTTGCGTTTTGTATGCAATCGCCACGACGCTCGTTTTCGACTTGGTATTGGTATACGGAATTCCGTGGACTTCGACGCGTTTTTTATTATTTTACGTCGTTGGTATCCGGAGTCGACGCCGCTGCAGCGTTTTTCTGTGTCGGCGCGCCACTTTTGACCAGCGTGTCTATTGCGCGGTAAAAGCGTCCGAGGGCGCCTTGGACGGCGGACCGCCACCCGACAAGTCTGCAGGCTGCAATTGCGATGCGTGGCTCTACGTACCTTGGCGTCGACGCGACGTGTGCCTCGTTGAACGAACGGTGATGCTACACGGCAAAGATACTGGTCATGGCGCTCGTCCACGCTGCATAAAACCTCGCTCTTCAGAAGTACAAAGTCCCAGTCCAAGGTGTTGAAACACCCAAGGTCGGAGCGCGCACCTGTACAAAGCACGGGGCGAGGACTTCGTTGCACGCCGCTAGCCAGGGTGGCCCATGAGCGTTGGGCCGACCACAGATATAGGGTCCCCCCCACTGATCGGATCGACACCCCAAGGCCCCACCCCTACTACAAATGCTGGGACCAGGTCTGCGACGTGGCACCACCACGTTGCGTCGGGGCGAGCGCGATGACGTCGTCAAGCTCCCAGGTCAACCTCCTGTAGCAAGTAAACGTCGTCGAGCTTCATGCACGTGTCGGTCCACGACCTACCCCATCCTCTTGAGGCGAAGGGTAAGCAATGTGCGCCCTCCGAAAGCAGTCGGCGCAAAGAACGTTCCTGGTGCTTGCTTCGGGATCAACCGTGGGATAGATGTGCTTGCTGGTCTTTGTCGCTGCACCTTGGCAGGCGCATGCATGCCCAAGAATGCCACGCCACCTCATGGACCACAAGCCAGAGAGGTCGTCACGGGGGTTCGCATCAGCTCTTGCACGAAGCTGATCGTCAGCGTCAACGTTAGCAATAACCAAAGGAATAAAACTATAGCCTTGGCTATAACTCACAGGCAGCTCTCAGAGGCGATTTGTCATGTGCGCTTCAATCCTCGTCCCTACGCCACGAGCTTCAACCCATGAACTCCCTCTCATTCACGCCCTTCTCTCGTTTGGCTCATGCAAACCACACAGAGACAGCCGTGTGGCGGGTCGTTCTTCTTGAGCCAAAGCCAAGCTGCTTCAAATGACTACCGGTACTTCTGTCCCGCGATTGCTCTGCAGGGCGGGAAATCCTCTTCGCTAGTCGAGGCGGTTATCCATTACGCCACCAGCAGCGCCTGCGTCAACCGTAAAAGTACCCAAAGTCCACCTCCATTTTGGACCAATGGCAATGCACTTGTATTTTGGCCAATCACACGCGGCGCTCAATAGATCGACGCATGGCTCATTTGGGAATTTCCAGCATGGTCGCGACCCCGGACCAAATCGTAGGACCACCGACGCGCTTCCTCGGCAGCGACCGACCTCATGGAGCGAAGGATGGAGGTTGACGGTCTGTATGTGTAGGCGTGGTTCCTTATCTTCGTGCTGGTCTTCGTGTCCTTCTACATCTTCACGAGCCCCTTCGTCGAGAACCGCGAGCTCTTGAACCGATGGACGCCGTACGTGTACGTCTCGATGGGCCTCTACACGTGGCTCCTCTTGGCTGCCGTCGTACACGTCCCCCTCACGCAGCTGGGCATGCTCGAGTACGACGTCAAGCAGCCGGTGCGAATACTCCTCGGCCATGCCCATCATGACATCGTTTTCGTAGATTTCGCTCTTCTTGCCCATTTTCTTCAGCTCCATTGTCATCCTCGGCGGGTTCCAGTCGATTCTGTACATGCTCATGCGCTTTGGCTGGGTCAAGCACTTCTCGAGCCTCTCGTACGGTCGCCACGTCCATGTTGCAGTGCGTCATGCATTGGCTTGTAGGTTCAACCGCGTCCTCTCCAACATCCTGCGCAACAGTGCGGCTGTGAGCGTCATGTGCTGCGTCTTGCTCGTGCATTGCGACGCCGCCGACGATGAGTCGGCCAACCCCAAGACGTACAATCGTCACGTGTGCGAACAGTTCTTTGGTGTCTCGGGCACCAAGATCCCCGTGCCCCAAAGGTATACCCTCGTTACCGCCTCTAGGATGATCACCTCATGTGTCATGATGCGTAGCTACCAAGGTGGCTTCTTCATTTGGATCACAGGTCTCAGCTTGGCCATGGTCAACTTGGTTACGGAACGTCTCGTGGGCTTCCGCATGCTCGAGCTCAACTGGAACAACTCCGAGGCGGACGAGGACGAGGACGACCTCGATGTTGAGCACTCCAAGCTCCCAGCCGAGCACGCGCTACCCATGGTGCCGTGGTACTCGATGTTTGTATTTGACACGGCGTTCGAGGTACCTTCCCTTGCCCTTTCTCGCTACGTATTCACATCTCTCTGCGTAGCTTCTCATTTCGCTCAAGATCTTCCTCGGGCGCTTCGACATGCGTGCCATGCAGGCTGCCATTCACCCTAACTACCAGGTACATGAGATTCTCGACGGCGATGCCTTGACCGCACACGCGTAGGACTACATGTTTGACCACTTGGCGGAGAGAGACGACTTGTGGCTTGATTTTATGGGCGACTGCGGCGACGGCTTCAACAGCAGCTACCAAGTTGCACGCTCGTTGGCGCAGCCCCAGCTTGATGTTGACGTGCCGTCCAACTCGCCCTTGGCGGACCAGGCCAAGATACTTACGTTGCCGCGCGGCGACTGCCTCGTCATTGGCGGTGATCTTGCGTATCCGCATCCTTGTGCCGAGACGTACGAGGTACTGCGTCTATCGTCTAGTTCGCGCCCTAACGATCTGTAGTCGCGCTTCTGGCGCACGTTTGAGTATGCGATGAAGCCGCCGCTTTGCTATGACCCCGCGGCCGTCTCGACGCAGAAGCCCGTGCTGCCGCCGGGCTGCAAGACGCTCAAAGATTACAAAGGCCCGACGTGCTTTGCGATTCCGGGCAACCACGACTGGTTTGACGGTCTCAACACGTACAAGCGGTTCGTGTGTCACCGCGACTGGCTCGGTGGCTGGCATCTTCCGCAGCAAACGAGCTACTTTTGCCTCAAGCTTCCGCACGGCTGGTGGCTCTTTGCGTGCGACCTCGCGCTCGAGAATGACATCAACGACGAACAGTTTGCATGCTTTGAAGCAATTGCGAAGAACCACCTGCAGGACTCGGACCGCGTCATCATCGTGACGCACGAACCCAACTGGATCCTTGATCAGTACGAGCACCAACGCACGGAAGAAAAACTGCAGTACCTCATGACCAAGGTTCTCGCCGGCCGCGTCGTGCTCCGGTGCGTCTTCCAACCTCGTCCTTTGTCATGAAGCTTATCGTGCGCGATATAGGTTGGCAGGTGATATCCACAACTACACGCGCCACTCGCTTCTTGAAGCGCCAACGATTCCGGCACCCAAGCCTACGACTCCACGCCCGCGGAAGCTCTCGATCAACACATCGATGACTCCCGACGACATTGTACGTAGCATCACAGACGATTCAGGATGTTTAGAATGCGATGGTGTGCGTAGTCGGCGATGGCGCCCTTCTCGCCCATCCACAAGCACTTTCCCCACATGGAAGAGAAGCGCTATCTGGAGATGCAGCTCGATATGGAGCCGATGCTCGAACCGGCGCAGGAGCACCCCGAGGGCGGTCCCGTCCACCTCATCGTGTCGGGCGGCGGCGGCGCGTTCTTGCACCCGACGCACGTACCGAGTGGCGAGAATCTGTTTGCAAACGACAAGCACTACCAACGCGCTTCGTGCTACCCGTCGGAAAAAGTCTCCCGGTAGGTCATCCCTTTTCACATGTCGAAGGATCTCACACGTGTCGTCGATCTAGTCGTTATGCTCTCCTCAACATCTTTGGTTTCCGTCGCCGCAACTGGCGCTTTGACTTCGTCGGCGGTGTCGGCGTACGTTGCGTCGTTCTCTTCCATATCAATCTCTTATGTGCATGGGCTGAACTAGTACTACATGCTGGCAGTGTCCATGTTTCCCCGCTGCTCGGTGGGCGAGATTTACGAGGTAAGCACGGCTTAGACGCGTACTGCGACTGATGAAATGCGTAGAGTGCGACGTGGCGTGGCGTGTTCGCCAACTTTTTCTGGGAGCTCGTCGCGATGCAGGGCGAAGTGTTTACAACGTCGTATGTGAGTCTGGCCTCGTACCTCGTGCTCTTCGTCGTGCACTTGCTTTTCGCCGACACACCGTCCTTCCCGAAGAAGGCAGCGATCAGTCTGGTCATGTCGCTCGCGCACACGACTGCGGCGTTTAGCGTTCTCATTGCGTTTGAAGCCATGTTTCAAGCCGCGACCGACCAGTACACTTCCAGCTGCTTCCGTCTATCGTACTCATCATGCTTCGTAGAGGGGCGCTTGCGAACGAAGGGCTCTACTCGCTGTACAACTACTTTAACGCGCACGTGCCCAACATGCTCCAGCTGCACGCGTACGACTACTTCAACGTCATTCCGCTCTACTCGACGTGCGTCAAGTACCTCTTGACGTTCTTTGACATCCCCGAAGTCGTCGCTGTCCACCGCATGAAGGTTCGCTTCTTCTATTGCATCGGGGTGGACTTGTACTACTGAGATTGGTAGATTTGCTACGAGGGTTTCGACGCGCTCTCGCGCATTGAGGCGAGCGTCTACTACTACTCTGTGTTCATGTACTTTTGGGTCGCGGTACGCCATCAGGCATGCAACGGCGCGTCGATAGGCTCATTTGAATAGGCGACGCCGATCTGCGGTGTCATTGTCGGGCTGTATCTCTACACGGCGCTCAACGTCTTCAAGAGCCACTACAACGAAGCGTTTTCGTCGCTTCGCGTCGCGAGCTACAAGAACTTTGTGCGCATGCGCTTTACACCCGAAGGCAACTTGGAAATTTATGCGCTTGGCATTGACAAGATGCCGCAAAAGTGGGTCCGGTACGAAAATCTTCGAGATGCATTCCTCTCCGTAATGATGGCATTCTTGTGTGCTGTAGCGATCCCAAGTGGAGCGGTGCGGCCGAGGCACGCAAGCTCAACCCGTCGCCGTCGTACGAGTGGAAGTACCCCAACTACTGGAAGCCCAAGATTTCCAAAGTCGACAACATTTTGCGCTTCGACATGGAGGACGAGCAGTTCGATGCCAAGTTTAGCACGGAAGACCGGTCGCGCATCAAGCTCGTCGACCACGTCGTGTACTACAAGAACAGTCCGAGCCGCCCGGGGACGCCCGCGCGCACCCCCACGTCGCATGACGACTAATGTGCTGCGTTTAATCCAACCCCTCTTGCATCCTCTGCCCACTCGTAAAAAGAAGTTGTCTATGTACAGATCGACGAGGGCTACGACTCTTCGGGAAGAAACACGAGCTGCTTGGGGAGACACGCGAGGTCAAACTCGCCGAGACCGATTTCTTGGACGACGTTGAGCATTGTGTTTTCCAGCACGAGGCTCGCAATGCGTCGAAAGTCGTCGTCGACCAAAAGCCGCTTCAGACGCGCTCGCCGCTTGTCCGCTGTGGCGCACGCCTGCTGGCAAAACTGCGCAAAGTACGGCGTCTCGAGCTCGGTCGGCAAGAGCTCGTCCACCGCCTACGCGCATCGCATCAGAGGCCATGACATCGTACTGCTTGTTGTTGTACCTGGTCGACCGTGCCCGTGTACAAGAGGTCGGTCACGAGGTGGCTCAACACGCCTTCGATGACGTGCCGGCTCTCGCTCATGGCCGATGGATCCTTCGTCACTCGCCACGCCGTCCGAAGCGCTTCGAGATCGTCGGCCCGCCGGGTTTCGCTGGTCGGGATCGCCAGCGGACGGCGATCGAACGCGTCGCGCGTCAGCTGCCGCCGAAAGATCTCGAGCGATAGCACGTGGGCAAAGACATGGAGGTACAATGGCTGCAGCACTTTGCTGCCGCGCAAATTCTCGTCCGACTCGGTGGCGTCCTTGCCGTCTGCAAACTTGGCCTTGCGCGCCGAATGGCCACGCGTCTAGCAGCGATAAGAGTCGATGGGTGATGGATTGCACGATCGTACCGGGCTCGGTTTCCTACGGGGCCCCTTTGGGCTGCGCATGCCCGAACCCGAGGCCGGCTTTGGCTTGAGTTTCGGCAGCGCGTGGGCAAGTGGTGGCGTGTAGTCGTCGGTCGTCGCCGGCTCTTCGCGACTAAAGTGAGCGCGCGACGAGATTGTGGTGCGCGTGAGCACCGAGGGTCGGCTGTCGATCGCCTTGTCCTCGTTCGATGCACTTTCGATGGGCGACGACGCGGCTGTGTCATGCAGCACGCGGACCCAGCACGCAATGTCGTGGTCGATCACAACCAAGTCGGCGGCCGGAGCGATCGTGACGCGCACCATGCAGTGCTCGAGCGGTTGGAGCTTCCCTTGCATCGGGAAGAACCGAACGCGGTTGGCATGCACCAAGTGGTGGCTGGCGTCCCACGCAAAGCTCAGCGTCGCCGTTGCGCTGAGGTTCGTGAGCACGACAAGACGCGTGTGCTCCGTGTGCACACACACGTGGCCGAGGTCGAGAATGTCGCAGCTCAACGCCGCGCGGGACTCGGGCGGCGACTGTTGAATCCGCGGTGGCCCGCCGGTCACCATCATGTCGCGCGTCTCGGCAAAGGTCGTCTTGGTCCCATCGTACCCGCGGGCGACAATCGGCAGCTTGACTTGGTCCTGGTAGCCCGACTCGAGACCCTCGACGCTCAGCAGCAGCGTGCCGTGGTACGTGAGCTGCTCGAGGGGGCAAAACTCGAGGTCCAAAAACACGGACGCGTTGGGCGGCACTGACACGCGCTGCGTGAGGCAGTCGAAGATCGGAAAGTTGTGGCTCGTCGCGTTGATGCGCGCGAGGTCCGAGTCGTCGACGTCGAGAAGGAACGGCGTGTCTCCGCGGTTGAAGACTTGAAACTGTTGCAGCGCGGGGCGGGCGTGCAGATGCTCCTTCCGCCCGCTCTCGCTGAGGAGCACGGGCGAGAGCACCCAGTTCGTGCGCGGTAAAAAGAGAAACGGAGTCGCCTTGGGCAGCGTCCGGCCGTGGAGCGACAGCATCATCTTCTTGCCTTGGGAGACCGACACGAGCAGCTGGAGGTCGTGGACGCCGTCGTACTGCATGGACGCGTACGAGTACGAGAGTCGAAGCAGAAGGCTCTGGTGCGGCTGTAAGACCCCTACGACATAATGCATTGTGTGCGACCTTGCCGACAATGGAGACATAGTACCTTTGCGCGGTGCGACGGTGAAGAGCTTCGAGTCGATGATGATGTTTTGCCGCAGCTCGTCGGTCGTCGGCTCGCTCGTGTCGGCCCACGGCTCAATCTCAATGTCCGACTCGTTGGGATAGAAAATGCGAAAGTCGACGACGAGCGAGCCCGGGTTGCGCAGCTGAATGCACACGTCCTCGGTCGGCGCGCCGACCACATTGGGCGTAAACTGCAACGGAAACACCTTGAGTAAACTCAAGTCCGGGCTGCTCTCGCTGTTGAGTTTGAGCTCGTCGTTGGTGAGCGGCGCGGCCATAAACGTGTTGATCTCTTCGCATTGAAACTGCGTCCACGCCACCGCGGTCGGTGTCTGCGCCACACGAATGTCCTCGAAGAAGAGCGTCGGGAACGAGGCGCTCGCATGCACGAGCATCTCGACGCAGTGAACGCCGTCATCGCTGTGGTGCGACGGCAGCACGACAGCGTCGAGCGTCGCAATCGCGCACTGGATCGCATAGTGGTAGCTGCCCGCGAGGTCGCCGCGAAACGCAATCTCCACGTGCTGCGTCGAGCGCGCCCCAATGATGCCGCTCGGTTTCGAGAAGGAAATGTACTTGGCCGCCACCGCCTTGTCAAGGTGCGGCCGCGCCATGAGCTTGGACGAGTCGAGGACGGTCACGCAAAGCTCAAACTTCAGGTCACAGTCGCTGCCGTTCACGAGCTGGAACGGCCCGGTCACGTCCGAGTTGACGAGGACCGTCGGTAGCGTGAGATCGGCGGGCTCGAAAGCGACCGCGCCCGTCGTACCGACGCCCGTCACCTTGATCGAGACGTCCTGGAGGATTGGGAGACGGGACGACGGAGGCTCGCCGCGTGCCATGGAGATGGACTTGACGTGCAGCGTGAGCCGCTGGTTGTACTGTTTGATGAGCGACGGCGCAAACACGCACGCAATCACGCTGGCTTCGTTCCCGAGGAGGCGGTGCACGAGCGGCGAGAGCTGAAACACGTCTTGGACCGACGGCGGAATGCTCCACCGAAACACAAGTGGGATGCGGCACCCGTTCTTGACGCGAAAGAGTCGCGTCGACGAGAGTCCAATGGACGTCGGCTTGATGAAGAGCTTGTCAATCGCAGGTCCGCCGTCGAGCTCTTGGCAAATCAAGTGCGGAAAGCAACCTGTGCCCGTAAGCTCGAGGACCACCGACGTCGAGTGGTTCACGGTCGTCTTGAGCGCGTGCGAGTAGCGTCGGCTCTTGGTCGGGCTAAACCGTATTTGCACCAAGTGGAAGCCGTTGGGCGGGATCAAGCCGCAGCTGGGCTTGGCGCGAAAGATACGGGACGGGTCCTGCGTCATTGCAAACACAGCAGGGGTGTCGCTGCTGTTCAAGAGCACGACCGTTTGGAAGACCGAGTCGCCAATGTACGCCGGTGGGAACGCGCAGAGGCCGTCTTTGGCCGTTGAAAAGCTCACGCGCGAGAGAAACTGGCTGTCGGTCGACGTGAACGTGTGCCCTGTCGCATGCACGACGACGCACCTACGCGCCATGAATCAAAGTATCGAGGTATCAAGATGATGATATGTACCACGGTGGCGTGAACGTCTCGGGGTTCACGAGCCGGAACGTCCGGTTGGACTTAAAGTAGACGCTGCTTTCGAGCTCGGCGAAGAAGTACGTGTTGGTCTGCTTGGGGTGGAAGCCGACGCGAAACTCGACCGACGCGCCCGGACCAATGTCGCACACGGTGGGAAAGATGGTAAAGTTGCCGCTGTCGACGGCCGTCGGCGCCTCGGCGATGCGCCACGCGCACGTGACCTTGCCGCGCGTTTGGTTGGTCACGAGCAGTGTCTTTTTCCCATCCAAGCCCGCGCCAAAGTCGAGGAGAGCGTCCGACGCAACAATCGCACCGTGCCGGTCGTCGGCCTGGATGAAAAACTCGTGGCACACGTCGACGTCCGAGAGCAGCATGTCGCCGCTCCGCGTGAGGAGGCGCGTGGTATCCTTGCGACTGGCGGCCTCCCGCTGGCGCGCGAGCGCGCCTTGAAGAAAGAGCTCGTCGCCCTTGTCGCTCCGAAGCGCTTCGAGACCATCGGGGGACAAGTGGCCTCTACGCATCGACATGACGATCCATCTCTAAAGCAGTAGTCTGTCTTGCAAGAGAGAACACGTACAAGTTGTGCTCGCAGCGAAGGCGGTACGCGTCGACGTGCGCCTGCTGAAACGGCGACGGGCGAATCTCGGCGTCGTAGCCCGTCCCGAGCACATCGACAAACATCGTTGCTTGGTTCTCAAGCAGGCAAAAGAGCCGCCGGTAGTAGTTGCCCGGCGTGAGCGGCGCAAAGGTCAGGAGCACGGACGCCTCGAGGAGCGGCGGGATCTCGCCCGCCACTTTGCTGACGCCAAAGATGCCATTGGCCGCACTCACAAGGTGAAAGCGGACGGGGATCGCCGCCTCGTTCTTGAGGTACAGCACGCGCGTCGCCGACTCGCCGACGCGCACGTCGCGAAAGTTGATCGAGTGGCCGCTCACGAGGTTGGACGCGCGGTTTTCTTCCAGAGCGACACGACCGGGCCGATGGCTTTGCCTTTGCAGACAATCTGCACCGCGTGCCCGCCGGGCGTCACAATCTTAAAGTTGTCGCACGTGAACGTGCCGGGGCTCAAGGGCGTGAACTTGACGCGAATCGGCAGCGCCGACTCGGGCGGGATCGTGCCTTTCAGCGGCGAGAAGAAAAACGTCGGCTCGTGGTCAGTCTCGATGGGGAAAATCTAGTAGCAAGATTGTATCAAGATCGTATCAAGATCGATCGAAAGGACGGTACGTGAAAAGACGCGCGGACCAGCGACCGGTTGCGCAAGACAAACTCGCGCTCCGTGGGATTCTTGTGCGTCGACGGGCCGTTGACGAGCATGTCGCCAAAGTCGAGTTCGGTTTCGGAGGCCGCAAAGTAGGCGAACTTGCCAATGCCGCTGATCTTGAGCGTCGTCTCTTGGTGCTGCTGGGTCTCGCCGAGCTCCTACAGTATAAGAGGAAGCATGAGAGCGCGCTGGCGCGGCAAGGAAGGGCTACGTGGGCCGCGAAGAGCGCGGTGACCACATACACGGACGCCGTCTTGGGCGCAAACGTCGCCGTCACATCGAGCACTTGGCCGGCCTTGATGTCGCCGCTCGACGGTGTGATCTTGAACGGTCGTCCATGCGTGCCCGCGTCTATGGTCGAGTTGCACGAAACACGATGTCTCGCCATGTAGTACCGGGGAGGCTCCACCGGAAGCGCGCATCGATCTGGCCGGTGCACTTGAGTTGGAAGACCACATCCGTCGTCTCGGCGGTCGGGCAAAAGCCAAAGTCGAGACCGGACGGGACTTCAATGCGCAGCATCGCGATGCGAGCTTTCACCGGAAGGCGGAAGGTGCCGTTCGTGGCCTGGACGCCGCCGTCGATGATGTGCACGGTGAAGCGGATGCAGTCGTCGTACTCCTCGTACTGCACCGGGCGGAACGCGATGTCGAGCACGCGCGACGTGCCCGGCGAGAGCGTCATGAGCAGCGGAAAGTCCATGGAAAAGTACTTGGTCCGCGGCAGGTCGTACTTGAACTTGATCGTTTTGTTCGAGACGTTCTTGACGACGAGCTTCTTGGTGTGCTCGCCACCCGGCGCCCACGTGCCCGCGCCAAAGAGGATCTCGTCGCCGCAGTCGATGCCATACACGCGCGCCTGCTCGACGCGGTTGAGCACCGCTTCGTCGGCCATCGCCCGACGATAAAATGACGGTTTCCAAGATACGCACCCTTTCGCCAGCATACTAGTATGCATGAAGCGTCGCCCCGACTTGCCACGATGCATGCATGACCGCCCGACGGCGACGGCGAGGACGACCGTATGCTGCGCATGCGGTATGGCGGTGGTCGCTGCTCCACACGACGGACGACACGATCGACGACCTGTCATCATCCGCGGCTACATGACCTTGCATCGCTGCTTGCATAGACATGATGCTTGCCATGCCATGAGGGTGATGATGATGCGTCGTGCTATTCACCGCTTCGCCGGCGCGGCTCGTCGGGGTCGCTGCGACCATGGCTGCGCTGCAGCGCACGGACGGTCTCATGTCGCAGTACTGCCAATAGCGAGGTCCAGTCCTTGGGCCATCGCGAGCATGCTTCGAGCCGCAGCGGCCGCATCTCGGCGTCGCGTATCCTCCTCGTCGTCGGTCGCTCGATGGATCTTCCGCCGCCCTGCGACGAGCAGCTATTAAAAAACGCTCCCCACTTCAACGTCCACCTTCACACTGGAGGTTTGTATGTGGCAGAATAAAAATACGGGCCACCGGCCATGAGCAGTCTCCGAGATTTGGCAAGTCGGCGGACGTCATGTGGTCGAAAGGCGGAGAGACGACGCCGCTGCTTTCGGCCTCGATGCGTCTGGACGAAGACCGCTTCTACATGGGCATGGACAAGCACACGCTCCTCAACACGCCCGAGAGCGGCCTCTCGACCGTCGAAGCCGCGCGCCGCCTCAAGCAATTTGGCCCCAACGAGTTTGAAGCGCAAGACGCCGCGTCCTGGCGCCGCTTGGCCAGCCACTTTATCGGTCCGATGCCACTGCTGCTTTGGCTCGTCATGGCGCTCGAGCTCGTGACCAAGGACATACCCGACCTCGCCGTCCTCTTGTTTCTCCAAGTCCTCAACGGCGTCGTGGGCTGGATCGACGACGCCAAGACGGCCCATGCACTCTTCGCGCTCAAGGCCGCACTCAAGCCCGAGGCGCAGGTCATTCGCGACGGCGTGCACCAAACGATCAACGCGTCGCTGCTTGTGCCCGGCGATAGGCTCACGCTCACGGTCGGTTGCGCCGTGCCCGCCGACTGCGATCTCTGCGATGGGTCGCCGATCCAGGTCGACCAAAGCGCGCTCACGGGCGAGTCGTTTCCCGTGACGCTGCACGCTGGCGACAACGTCAAGATGGGGTCGCTTGTCGTGCACGGCGACGTCGAGGCGATCGTGTCGGCGACCGGCGTCCAGACCTTCCTCGGACAGCACCCGCCGAGCGCCGAGTGGCCTGCCAAGAACACACTCTATATGCACTTTACGCACATCACCATGGCGCTCCTTCTCCTTACGCTCCTTTGCGTCAGCGTTCTCCTCGGGTGTCTCTTGTACAACGGCGTGCCGCTGCTCTCTGCGCTCAGCGTCGGCCTCGTCGTTGTCGTCGCCGCCGTGCCGCTCACGCTGCGCAGCGTCTGTACGTCCATTCTTGCCCTCGGGTCGCGCCAGCTCGCGGCCGAGAAGGTGCTCGTCACGCACCTTCCGGCGATCGAGACCATGTCCCGGCTCAACATCGTGTGCGCCGACAAGACGGGGACGCTCACTCGCAACAAGATGGAGCTGCAGGACGACGTGCCGCTCTTCGCGCCGCATGCCTCCCGCGAAGACATCCTCGTTATGGCCGCGCTGGCCGCCAAGTGGCGCGAGCCGCCGCGCGACGCCATCGATACGCTCGTGCTCAATGCGATCGACCTCCGACCGCTCGACGCGTACACGCTGCTCGCGCACACACCGTTCGAGCCGACGGCCAAGCGCACCGAGTCGACCATCAAGACGTCGTCGGGCAAAGTGTTTAAAGTCACGAAAGGCGCGCCGCACATGGTGCTCTCGCTCGCCCACAACGTCGACGACATTGCGGACGCGGTGACGTCCCGGGTCCTCGACCTCGCCAAGCGCGGCGTCCGGTGCCTCGCGGTGGCGCGGACCGAAGACGCCATCGGGTGGGTCTTGATGGGTCTCCTTACGTTCGTGGACCCGCCCCGACACGACACGAAGCGGTCGATCGAGCTGCTGCAGTGGCACGGCATCAACCTCAAGATGCTCACGGGCGACAATGCGGCCGTCGCGATCGAAACGGCGCATTTGCTGCAAGTCGGGTCGACGATCCTCGGGTCGGACGCGCCGCTGACGTCGGCCATGGTCGAGAACGCCGATGGCTTTGCCAACGTGTTTCCGGCCCACAAAGTGCGTCTCCTGACGCTGCTCTCGACGGACGCCACCAACGTCGTCGGCGTCACGGGCAACGACGTGCAAGACGCGCCGGCGCTGCGCCTCGCGCATTTGGGCATCGCGGTCGATGGCGCGAGCGACGCCGCCAGAGCCGCCGCCGATGTCGTCTTGACCAAACCGGGGCTCGCGGTGCTACTGCATGGCGTGCTGCTTGCGCGGCACGTGTGCCAGCGCGTGACGCACTACGTCATCTACCGCGTCGCCACCGGCCTCCATCTGCTCGCCTTTCTCGTCGTGGCGACTGTGTGCTTTTCGCCGAGCGGTGGCCACTTTGCTCAGTTTTCTGGCAGCGGTGGCAATGCGACTGCGTGGACGATCGCACGGGAAGACGCGCCGGCGTCGTTCCAGCTGCCACTGATTGCGATCGCGCTGCTCTTGCTGCTCAACGACGGCGCGATCGGCTCGACGATGGCGCAGGACGTTGTTGGTTCGCGCTCGACGCCCCAGGGATGGAGCGGCCCGCGCACTGCCCTGATCGCGGGCACGCTTGGCGCCGTGAGCGCGCTTGGCAGCCTTCTCTCGCTCTACTGGAGCCTCGACTCGTGGAACAGTGGAGGCGTCTGGCAGCAACTCGGGCTGCACGCGCTGTCGTACCGCCAAGTGCTCATGGTCGCGTACCTGCAGCTGTCGCTCTCGGGCGGCTTTCTCGTCTTCTCGGCGCGCACCGACGCGGTGTGCTGTCTGCAGGCCCCGAGCAAGCTCCTCGTTGTGGCCACGGGCCTCTCGTCGGTGGCGGCGACGACGTTGTCGCTCTTTTGGCCGTTTGCCGACATGCAAGCCATTCCGGCGCCGACGGCGGCCGCTGTGTGGGTCTACACACTGCTGTGGCTTTTTGTGCAGGAGAGCGCTAAGCTGCTCGCGCTCACGCTCTACGAGCACGCGACGAGAAACCGCAAGCCCGCGCGCATGGAGTGGCAGCGCGTGAACCGGATGCAGCTCGGCAACCTCCGAGCGGTCGCGACCGCAACGCCGCTCTCGGCGAGCTCGTCGTCGTCGCGGATGCTGCGCGACTCGTTCGTGGCGGGGCGCGCCGTGACGAGCAGCGTGTCGACGACCATGAACCTGGACCAAGCGATCGACCGCCTCGGGCGCCTCGAAGCCGAGATGAAGGCTGTGCGACATGTCATTCAAGCGGCGTCCGCCAGCACCAACTAGCGACCAATCTAGACAAGATGTACATAGTTGACCTGTCGAAGAATGCAGACAACATGTCGTGATTGTAAAAGCGTCGGGTCCGAGAGTACGCATGCCACGACCCTCGAACGGTACAACATGGAGCGAATGGACGTGAGGACCCTCCAAGCACAACTGCGCTGCGCCGCGTTTGCTCTAACTTTCCCGCCCTACGCTTGCCAGCCCCAGCAGGTGCTCATCTCATCGACGTAGTCTATGCGACGAGTCGCCACAGCTCGCACGCCAACCGAGAGGACCCCGTAGCAGCTTGTGGATGTCGCCACCACCGCAACACTACGCTGCTTGGGAAAGCCGATGAGCTGGTGGGTCACACAAACGACGCTGGGCTTGTGGCTTGTTTTATACACCGAGTGGCAATGCCATGTCCGACCTTGACAACGTTGATGGCCATTTACGTTCCCAACGAGACTCGGCCGTGAAGCAGGGGACTGCAGTTCGACGACACGAGACGTGCCCGACACAAGTGCCACGCGCCAGCTTTTGCATCTACGTACTGCGTAGTCCCTAGTACGTATAGGACACTGCTCTCACAACAAGCATCTTTCACCCACAGATGGCGCCATATTCCGACGTTGGAGACTGCCAGCAACATGTCTCGTCCGGAATCGCATCGAACACCACAAGAGCATGCCAGAAGCGAACGCGTCGCATAGCGCCACAGCCTCGGCGCCACATCAATTGCTTCTCTTACCTTGAACGGCAACGCCATGCACAATACTGTCCTCTTCGTGTCCGCCCTTTCCCAAACCGCCGTTTGATTGGTGCTTTGAAATCTGTACGCATGATATGATTGGGCGCGACGTACCATACGTCGTGTGTGATTGGCTGTCGCAGAAAAGCCTGCCCATCCGCCTTTCATCAAAGTGCAATATGAACCCGGGCGAAGCTTTGGCCGTCGACGTGCACGACCCATCGGGCTGCGACTACTCGGTGCAGTGGTCCCCTGAGGAGCGCAGCATCCTCGACAACCTCCTCGGCGACGACGAGACAGACCATAGCCAGTCGCCGCCGCGCAATGGCTCCAAGCATCGCCTCGTGCTGCAGCGATACCGGAAGCGCAAGCGCGAAGAGCTTTTGCATCTCCGCCACGCAGCCATCGAGCTTGAGGCCCGGCTGCAGCAACTCCAAGCGGCGAAGGCCCACGAAGACCGCGTGCGCCCACCGACCAAGTGGCGCCAGCTCGCGGTCCAAGAACGGCAGCACGAAGTCGCGGCCCGGAAAGAGAACCAGCAGCTGCGCGAGCTTGTGCACCGGCACATGGTCACGGCGCAGATCTTTGCAAGCGTCCTCGAAAAGACGCGCGAGGACACGCAGTCGCTTGCAGTTTTCGACGCTCCGCACGACAAGTGGCGGTCGCTCATTCTGGTCCAGGACACGTCGCTGCGAACGGCTGCGATGCACCAGATTCTGGACCGCGAGTACGCCAACTTCGACAGCGCGCTCATCGAAGCGGGCCTCGTCGACGTGAGCGAGGACTTTCAGAAGCACGTCTCCAAGTTCATGCCCGACGCCGCGCACGAGTTCCAGAACATCGTGTACCGGCGCACGGGGCTGCCGCTGCGCTGCGTCGCGGCCGGTCTCTGGAACGTCATTCGCGGCACGACGGACAAGCTTCCAAACATGAACCGCCACTGCCAGACGCTCTTGGACGTGGATCCGCACACGTCGTACGTCTCGGGCACCTTGTCGCACCCGCTCGGCACGTTCCAGCGCCGCGTGCTCTGCAAACTCTACTTCAACGCAGTGGACCCGAAGGCCGCGACGCGCTGTGTGATTGTATGTCGTAGCATCGAGGACGACGAGCTCTCGCCGTACAGCGAGCACTCGCCGTACTCGAACGAGGTGTCGTGGCACGCGCTCGAGACGAACGAGGTGGGCGGCACCGACCTCAAGTTTTTTCAGAAATTCCGGCCGTCGGCGTGGACCCACGCCAACTTGCCGCTCAATTCGACGTGGATGCAGACGCTCGAGCAAGACTCGCGCCTCATGCGGCGCGCCGTGCACCAGTACATTGACGAGTTTGTAGAAAACCCGCACGAGGACAATCTCATCGCATCCGCAACACCGTCAACCACGTGCTCCGTGTCGCTCTAGTTGAATATACTCTTCGCATGACGCCAGTCCATGACGTAGTAGTGTGCAATTGCATCTGATCTCTGCGACGGCGGTGCTCAAACGCAGAACACTCGAGTCAAACTGGCTGGACCGAGAACGTCCGCTGGGTCACAGCGTCCAAGCGTCGCTCATTCGCTGACGTGCTGTAAGAGCTCTATAACTCGGCGGCTTCTCCGTAGAAGGCAGCAAGTACCTCAAGCTACCTCCCTCTATCGTTGCTTTCGCAAAGCGCTTATAGCGGCCTGTTTACAATCCTTTGTTTCTCGTTTGTTGCTCTATTGGATCCAAGCTGGCTCAATCCAAGGCTACTCGTGCGTCAACTACGGTCCTCGTACCGCCTGCGACGCTCGAGCCCTCGAATGACTTGATAAAATGATCCAATCGGAGCTCATATTACGACGCTATGAGGCGGTGTGATCGACTGGTTGCCGCGTCGGCCTCTCACAAGCGTTCAAGAGGTCGCGTCAAAAGACGTGGCGCGTCCCGCATCAGCGGTTGGCGCGTTTTTTACGAAGTTCGCACTTGGTTTACCGGATCTTCAACTTCGATCTCCGCGCAACTTCAAATTCGGCAGAACAACCGAACCCACGGAAGCTTGGCCCGCGATCAAGATGGAGGTACCGCTGCCACTGCGCAGCGTATGGCTCCAAGCCCACGCACCGCGATCGCGCGACGAGGCCACGTGCGTCTTGCGCCAGCTCCAGCGACTACATGGCGAGCATGACTGGCGCACCGTCCAGCAGCTGCTGCACTGGGTCCAGTCCGGAGCAACCAGTCGCCCGTGTGCGTGCTGCCACGCCGACTGCGCTGCGTCCTGGACGTCGACGCGCCACTTGGAAAAGACCATCGAATACGAACAGTTTCTCCTCTCGTTGGCGCTCCGCCACGTCGCCGTGACGCTCAAGGAAGACCGCGCGTGGACGCTCAGCGCGCTCGACGCCCTGTATCCCGTCACCACGTGCCTCGAAGTCGCGCTCCTCGAGCGTACACCAAGCGCAGGATGGATCTATGGTTAATGCGCTCTTTTCTAGACGAGGCGATCAAGCCATTAGGACGCATCTGGCAGCATCTTCGCCTCGCGTGCGGCGGCAATGCGTACATGGAGCGCCACGCAGCGCTTGTCGCGTCGTACGATGCTGCGCGCTGGTGCGCGACAGCGACGGCGATTGATCAGCTCTTCGTGCCCAAGTTTAGCAACGTCGTGGACCCATTTCCCGAATTCACCGCGTCGGCGACACCCATCGTGCTCTCGGGCTTCCAAACGACCTTTCATCCGCGCATGCCTCGGATGCTCGAGACACGTACGCTGCGCCTGCGCTCCTCTATCTTATCTTGTGTGTAGACAAGGCCTCGGACACGGTGCTAGGGTACGCGTGGTCGACCGACGACGAGAGCCTCTTTGCTCTCAAGGCCATGGAGCTCCAGATCGCGCTGGGGCGACTTGTGTACGCCAAGCAGACGCGGGTCGACGCGGGTCTCTCATTGCAACCCGCCTCATCGTCTTTTCGTGCCACCCGAGCAAGACCCGCGACCCGTTGCAGGATGTCCCGATCGCACCCCACCTGCCAGTACGAACAATGTGGTTGTTGTGCCCATGAGGCTAGGACAAGACGTAGATGGACTGCAGCTCGGTACCGTACCTCGTGGAATTTCGACGCGGTAATATTCCAATACTGCTGTCGATTCCGCACGGCGGCGGCACGTCGGCGGCGACGGCTTCGGGTCGGTGGCAGCTGTCCCACTTGACGCAGCGCACGCCGTCCAAGACGAGTGCCAAGCGCTTTACTGTCTTTGCCGACACGCGCACCGTCCACGTCGGCGCAGGTATGCTGTCCATACGATCCATATGTTTCTGGATGGTTGTAGACGCGTCCAAGGCGCTGGACAGACGCACTAATGGTGCGCAGCCGTATATGGTCATCGCCAAGTTCCACCGCAAGTTTGTCGACGTCAACCGCGCGCACAACGAAGACGCGTACGTGGACGACACGCCGTGGACGCAACACATGTATGCCACGTACCACAGGTAGCGCAACATGGATCCGCGTGAGCAGCCGATGTGCATGGAAATAGCACGCTGCTGCACGCGTTGCAAGAGATATGGCTACGATTTCCCATGTTTGATCCGCTTTTGCTCGATGTCCATGGCCAGCGCGCCGCCACGTGCCCGCGTCTCGGTATCTCGAACCTCGAGTCGAAGCAGCTCCTCTACATTGGCACCCAGAACGGCCTCACGATTCGCTCGATGGACGTCATGCAGCGGTACGCTTCCATTGACGAGGATGTTCTGAAGTGTCTTTTGCCTCATTTTCATATGTTAGGTACTTTCTCGGACACTTGCATGGAGCACTTCAAGAGCAAGCGTGGCTCGGCATCTACCCACTTGCTGCGCGGGACAAAGACGGCGGCTACGCCTGGGACCTGTACCTACATTGCCCTATATTTTCGGTGGAAATGACGCCTCTTGTAGCGAGCGAAAAGAGTTTCTCGGTGGCTACATTGTCCGGTAGACTCGCGATGAAATGATATCCTTATATGGGAGTTGGTGTAGAACGTACGGACATAGCGCAACGGGGGCGAACGCCATCCAACTCGAGTTTGGCGCATCGATGCGCGGCGCCGACGTCGACGTGCACCCTGACGAGGCCAAGGCCCAGCGCCAGCGTACATCTGAAGCTCTCGCTGTCGCAATGGCCAGCTATATTGAGCATATTGGCCTCGGATTCGGTCTTCTCGAGCGCGACGTGTACGCGTGAACGCTCTGCTACCTGTATTTCGTGTAGTGTAGTACCTCTAAATACCAGAAACGGTGATCTGTGCAGTGCGTCTGCATTTCACAACGAAGACGAGGCAACTGCACTTCAACTCTACCCGATGCGCTTGCACTGAATCCCGCACCCTACGACTTGCCGCGAAAAGCCAACAAACGAGCCAAGAGGCCGTACTAAATGCCACGCGTAGATAGACGCCTATTGGTTTTGCGTCTACCCAAAAGAGCTGCACCTTTGTCGCAAAGGCGGACAAAGGCTGTGTGCGTACTCGTCCAGATCACGAGATATCTGAACGACGGGCTTGCGCTCTTCTCGGGTGCCGACTTCAACTTCAACATGGCAGCAGGCGTAACCGGCATCCGGTTACGGCGCCAGGCAGCGAGAAGGCAATAGAGAAGATCCAAGGTTGGTGGCGCGATGCGGGCTTGGTACAAGGCTGTGAGCACCAAGTACCCACGCATCGTGGCGGGCTGTACGGCGTCGTGCGTGCTGGCCTCCGCGGACGTGACCTGCCAAACGATGCTGCAGCGCGACGACCGGGGTCGGCTCGACCTCTCGCGCACGGCCGGCCTCGCCCTCTTTGGCCTCGTCTACTATGGCGGGCCGTGCAAGAGCTTGTACCTGTACTTTGACAAGGTCATGGGCACGACGCCGACGCCACGCACGGTGCTGCTCCAGACGTTCATCGACTGCTACATCCACACGCCGCTGCTGCTCATCCCATCGTTCTACTACATCACTAACGCGGTCAAGGGCAAGAGCGTCGAGGAGACCACGCTCCAGCTCAAGCGCGAGTGGCACACCGCGTCGTTCGGGTCGGTGCTCTTCTGGACGCCGGCGCAGATTCTCAACTTTTGGGTCGTGCCGCAGCACTCCAAGATCCTCTTCGTCGCTGGCCTCTCGTTCGTGCACAAGACATGGCTCTCGTGGCTCTCGAACCGCGACGACCACGCCAAGGTGCTGCTTCTTGCGAGCCAGAAAAGCTAGATTTGATGTATTGAAACAAAGCCTTGAATGGCGCGAACGAAAGATGACCGATGGATGGACAAGGTGTCTGTGGACCACAAACACGCGCGCGCCTGTCTCGGCACCGAGCACGCGTAGACTCGGGTTTGCGGCCTCTGATTGGCCGAGCCCACGCGTGGGGCCCAGTTTGAATATCACTGCAGACGGTCGGTCCCGTACAGCATGTTTTATGCTGCAACAGGTTATCATGCGGGCTCATTGGCCACGCCCACGCGTGCCTCGTAACCTGCTTCCTTCTCGTCACAAAAGGATGGAGGAAGACCTCTCGCGGGTAATTCCGCTATCCAGTACACAGCCCCGGGCTCATTGGTGCCGCCAGAGCGCAGGCAAGGTTCCATGCACGTCATAGCGATGGAAGGTGTCTTGCCAATCGCAGAAGGTTGTCGAAGGTCGTCTCGTGCTGGCAAGAACCCGTGTTCTGTGGACCATGGTTGCTGGCCATCGATCGCCGCTCCCCATAGAGTGATGGCAAGAGGTACTACTTAGTGCAATTCCCTCCCACCGTCGGCGCTGGATGCCGCTGTTTCGCACCCGCGCCACCTTCCTCCGCCCGTCGTCGCACTGAGCCGGCCAAAGATCGCGCGCAATCCCACGCGATTGGGCCTGTTTGCACAATGCCAGGAGCCAATCACAATCGATATTGCATTTGATTGGCCGGATCCACGCGCCTTTCTGTCAATATCAATTTATAGAGGTCCACATATTCGTGGTGTGGTGCTAGACGATGGGATTTGCGGCGGCCTCCGAAGCTTCCAGTTGACAAGATGAGCCAAGTCAAGCAAGAGAGCAGCGTGACGTCGTCCTTGAAGAAGTCCCTCGCGGCTTCCTCCGGCGCCATGATGACGTCGCTCTTTGTGACGCCGCTGGACGTGGCCAAGGTGCGCCTCCAGGCGCAGACGCAGACGTCGGCCTTCTCGACGACCGCTTCCTGCAAGACCAAGACGTCGTGCTTGTCCAAGTGCGTCCAGCACGCGCCGCGCATCACGCCATGCCGGTCGATGCGCAACCCGCTTTTGGCCGCGGCGCCGAAAGCCCCGTGCAAGTTTCGCCAAATGACGGTGCACTGCGTCCAGGCCAACTGCCACTCGTCGCAGTTGCCACTGAATGGCACGCTTGATGCGCTGCGCCACATTTTTCGCACTGAAGGCGCGCGCGGGCTCTTCGCCGGATTGCCGCCGACGCTCATGCTCTCAGTGCCGTCGACGGTCCTCTACTACACGTCGTACGACCACCTCGTGCACGAAGGCGCGCAGAAGTTCCCCGAAGTCGCGTTTCTGATGCCACTTTTGGCCGGCTCGAGCGCTCGTATTGTGGCCGCGACCATTGTGTCGCCGCTCGAGCTCGTCCGCACGCGCATGCAGGGCCATGGCACCAAGCTGCCGACGACGTCCTCCAGTGGCGTCGTCTCGACGCTCACCAATGCGATCAAGCAGAACGGCGTTGGGTCGCTCTACCGCGGTCTCAGTGCAACTCTCGCGCGCGACGTGCCCTTCAGCGCGATCTACTGGACGTGTTTTGAGCAGTTCCGAAAGGCCCTCGAAGTGCGATTTCCCGAGTCGACCAAGATCCAGCAGTCGTTCTGCGCGGGTGCCATGGCCGGCGCGATCGCGGCGACGGTCACGACACCTTTTGACGTCGTCAAGACGCTGCAGCAGGTCGACGGCAGCCTGAACCTCTCGACGACGCAAGTGCTGCGTCGGCTCGTGCGGACGCAGGGCCCGGCGGCTGTCATGACGGGGCTCAGCGCGCGCTTGGCCAAGATCGTGCCCTCGTGTGCCATCATGATCTCGAGCTACGAGGTCGGGAAGCGGTACCTTGGCCTTGACAACTGAGCCACCGCCGTCCTCTTGTAGTTTAAAATACCCGTCTTATAATTATCTTATTCCGTTTCCTCTTTTGTAAATGCCATGGAGGAGGAGGAGACGCCGCCGACTTGGGTGCGACTTGCAGTAGTAGCTCGAACCAGACACGGCCGCACTGAGTCGCGTCGACGCTTCCCCGTCACTGGGCAATGTCGGACGCGAGAATCTGGGTCCAAGTAAAGTGAGTACCTTTTGACAGAAGCTGGTCGCCTCGAAACGGTCTGGCATCACAGAAGCTCCTCCCATGGGTACTGCCATCCGCGCCGCCATCCATTCCACTACATACATATATGTACTGCGAATAACGCTAACAAATATTACATGCAGAGTTGTGCAACGAGGGTGCTTGAAGAGGACACTCTTAATGTATCCGATCTGCCAATGGCGAAGCCTCGGCGGCGACTCGACGTTGGTTTTCCGATTTTTGGTTTCATCTTTTTATTCGTGGGAGGAATGCCGCACGTCAGCACGGTATCTCGTCGGACACTTCAAGGATGCAAATTGCACATTTATGAGTCGACCAGGTCGCTGTAGTAGCTCGCGGGTCGGACACAGGGTACTATTAGCATGTAGCAGTTGCCCTGGTCGGACACGGCACGGGACGACCCGATGACTGCCTTGGATGCAATCGTGCTGAATGGCGCTCCCTACGATCAAACGGGAGTGTCGACGTCATCACGCACGGAGCCTCGTCCGCGGAGAATGTATGCATCCTCTTCTTGCGCTCCTTCGCTCTCGTGCAGCAGACGAGATCTTTGGAACCTGTGGGATGCTTGGTCCACAGCCAAAAGACAGGCGATGCTCCACACTAATACAAGTATACTTTGATTATACCATACACTATATTTTGTCTTACTCGTAATACTGTTCAATGCAACCTGTCCCGAGTCGGCGTGGCCGCTTGCGTGCGCGGCGCTTCAGAAGTCTTGTTGCTGCTGTCTGCAACTGGAACTCTCACGAAAAGCGCGCACCAATCTGCAGCGCGAATGGGACCGACCCCCGCAGCTGCGAACGACGTGTTGGTACCGTACTAGTACCCGGCACTTCGATCGCACACGATTTCAAGGTTGTAATCATACGAAATAGTGTTTGTCGACAGAGTTCGTTGAAGGCAACGAAAAAGGTGGCTTGCCGCCGCCGCCGTGCAAGAGCCACGTCGTCGACAACGATGCACGTACAGTAGCCGCGGCTGTCGTTGGGTGCCCGCGTCGAGGGGTCATTCTTCCTACACAGTACGCTAGAGGTGCAATCTCGCCCGGATCTGAGTTTGCCGCGTCGGTTCAGTGCAAAGTGTCAAGCGTCAGCAGCGCCGTCGTCAGCCCCGCCGCACGTGGCGCCTTTGCGGGCGCTCGGCGAAGAATACATGCGCTTTTCAGCTGATATCTTTTTCGCGAGCGAAGAGCCAGGGCTAGAATAATGACTGGCGGCTCCGCGTTGGGCGCCCGCGTCATACATGTACCCATGCGACTGGCTTGCTCGTATGGGACAGCGCGCGCAAATTTAGCGCTCGCTGTTCACATACTCACGTTACTTAGTACACAGGGGCATGGATGGTCTTGTTCGTAGAACCAAGCACCAAACGTGCGGCTTCGTGTTTCTGGCGGCGCGCGCCCATCACACTCGCTGGTGGTTCCCATCACACGTTGAAATCGTTGCAAAAGATCCTGAAATGCGTCGGGCTATTTTTTGACGTTGTGGTGGCAGCCACTTGGCGTTTGTATGAAATCGCCGCCTGGTCGAATAAAAAGGCTCGTAGAAGACGGACCGCAGTCGTGGCGTAATTGTAGCATCGCGACATGCCAATTGAAGTCTGGGAGACCACGGATTTGAGCCAATCAGAGCGGCCGGGCGCCCACTGACGCGACTCCGACTGTCGCCAGCGCCCGTGTAACATTAGTTCACCGCCGGGAACGCGGCGAGGTCAGTTGCATTTCGTGGCCCACGCGCGTAGTACGAAGATGAGTGTGTTTCAGTTCTGGAAGCACGACGTGACATCGCTCTGCGCCTCGCTGCATGAGCTCCTCAATGACGTGGCGACGCCAGACGAGAGCGACGGCAGCGATTACGAAGACGAGCCCCAAACCGACGTGATCAATGGCCGCGTCGAGCGCCTCGTCGCCAAGCTGCGCCACGTCTTTTATGGCACATTGGACCAACCGGTCAAGGAGGAGGATTGCAAGCAAGTCGCCGAGATGCTCTCGCGCTCGCATGTCATGGCGCGCCTCGTGACGCCGTCGCTCTTATCGCAGCTCTCGTTTGAGACGCGCAAGTCGGTGGCCGCGCTCTTCCGCGCCCTCGTGCGCCGCGACCAAGCATCGAGCATCGTCTGCGACGTGGCCCTCATGACGCGCCTCGCGCAAGGCTACACGGCGTCGACCGACACGGCGCTCGTGTGCGGCAGCATGCTCCGCGACTGCCTCGAGCGCATCGAGTGCGCCCATGCGTTTCTTCTCAACATGCCGGCCGAGCTGGAGCTCCTGGTGGCGACCGCAGCCACCCATCCGCACTTTGAGGTCTCATCCGACGCGCTCTCCAACATTGGCCTCCTCCTCACGCACAAGCAGTCGGTGCCAGTGCTCCTCGCCGAGTTTGACCGCGTCTTCACGGCGCAGTACCAGACGCTGCTGCTGTCGGACAACTATGCGACGCAGCGCCATGCGCTTCAGATCCTCTCCAAGGTGCTTCTGGACCCAATGAACGGCGCGGTCATGATGAAGTACATCTCCAAGCGCGACCATCTCAAGACCATTCTGCGCGTGCTCCGCCGGCCGAGCGACGCGCTGCGGATGGACGCGTTCCATATCTTCAAGATCTTTGTCGCCAACCCCAACAAGACGCCCGAGGTCGAGGCGCTACTCCTCCGGAACCGCGACAAGCTGCACGCGTACGTCAAGAGCTTTGGGGCGATGCACCACGGAGGCAAGCAGCAGCCCGGGTTCGTCGCCGAGATTCGGTTACTCCTCTTCACCCTCGAGCATCTCGACCAGACGAAGCGCGAACTCGAGCCGCCGACGGACGACAGCCGGCCGCCCAAGAAGCAGCAAACTGCGACGCTTGTCCAAACCTTGTAATAGTTAGACCCTAATTTATCGACAAAATACCCACGTAGTACCGGTAGTATAAAGTTAATCCAAGTTGCCTTGATCCTAGTAATATCTTGCTTCTATCCAAAGCGTCTTTATTAGTTGATCGCACTCTGGTTGCGACGCGTTGCTAGACGTCGTCGTCGAACATATCGATGAGCTCCCACTCGATCTTGTCCGGGTCGGCAATGCTCGTCGCAAAGGTCCATTGGCAGTACGAGTCCCGGGCCTCGGTCGTCGTCGCGGCGCCAGCCTCGGTCGTCGCCAAGTGCTCGGTCGTGTGGTATAGAACCGAAAGCATGAGCTTCATCTGCTGGCCGTCGAGGAGCAGCCGGCTAAACTGCCCGCTGTGCACGTCCACCTGCTGCAGCGCGACTGTCGTGTTGGGCCGCACCGGTGATCGCTTGTAGTCCGTGACAAGCGCTTCAAAGCACTCGGGCGACATGACGCTCCGAAGCAGCTCCACGGGCGGCGACGTGACCGAGGTATCGCGCACGTAGGCTTGGAATTCTGGCGTGTAGATCGTATGGAGCACGAGGTCCAGCGCGACCTGGGCGCCGTCGATGAAGTCGGGTAGATCCAAACCCGAAGACGGAAACGCGTGGTGCAGCAGCGCAAACGACATGGCTTTCTTCACAAACGACATGTCGGGCTTGAAGAGCTCGTCTTCGTCCCAGCGGTAGAAGCGGTCGCGGTCGTCGTACGCGCGCTCGAACGAGCTGCCAAAGGACTGGATATCAAAGGTCGGCGGCGCCGACGACGAGAAGGCGCGCGCGACCTGACGGCGCGGGCGCACCACGGATCGCAGCGCTTGCATGCTTCCAAAACCTTCCTGAGCTCGCGCGGGCGGATTCGGCACGCTAGATTCGGCATTCGCGGCATATGCCGAACCCAGCCTTTCGGAAGGCACAGCAGAAAGATGCAGTTTGCCCTTGGTACGTTGCGTGCGCGGGTGACGACGCGCGGAACGTTCGCGATGCGTAGACCGCTTCTGCCTCGCCCAGTTTGAGGATCCAGCGCACCAAGGGACGCGGCTGCGCTGGGACACGGCGGACCTCGAGCGACGCATCAACAGCGCGTTTGCAACCGGCGATTGCGCCCTCGTCGACGGGTGTGTCATGCGATGCTATTAACACCACGATGCCGATACGAAGGAACGTACTAGCTATGCGCCGTTCTGCAAGCACCTCTTTGTGCCCAACTTTACAGACGCACTCGTGAGCACGGCCGCCATCACGGAGGCCAACAAGGCCCACTTGCGCAGTGCGTACGTGGCGCGCGCCGAGCACGAGCTGCCCGTGTACTTCCGCATGCTCAAAGTATGCGATCTCATGACGGCGCGTACTAGGCTAGTGCGCTGGTTCCCTGCGGACGTTGTGCCGCCGACGGTCGCGACCTATCTGGACGTGATTCTCTACAGCCGGGACCAAATCCGGCTCGAGAACGCAGCGACAGGGCATGAGAACGATCCGAGAAGCGACGCCGCGCCGTGGGGCATCATCTACATCAAGGCGCAGGACGTACCGTACGAGCTGCCCATGGATCCGATCACGATCCTGCGCAATGCACTCGGCAAGGAGGAGGGCGGGTCCGGCGTGCCGCTGGACCGCGACGCGTATCGAGCGTCTGTCGCCTACTGGTCGCAGCACGCAACGATCCAACACGACGACGCGTAATACAATGTGTGGACAATAGTATTCATCGTGTTGGCAGAAACGATGAGCAACGCCTGGCTCGTAACTCAAATGCCAACAATGGTCCATTTGATGGGCTCTTGGAGCGACGACTCAAAGACCCACGTGCATTGGTCGTCGCGCACCGATGGCTCGGACAACTCTTCTCCGTTGACGACGCCCGTGGTGAGAATGTGCTCTTCGGTGTAAAAGAGCACGTGCAATCGAACCGACGTCGCATCGTCCGCGAGGTCGACCGCGTCCAAGTGCGCGCCCTTGATGTCGAGGTGCGTGAGCTCAAAGCCCGTCGCGCCGTTGGCACGAAGCGCTGTGAAGCCATCGATGAAGATCTGGACGCACTCTGGGCTCATGATGGTGTGCAGGAACGCCAGCTCGTCGGTCGGCGCGTTGGCGTGGGTGGTCGTCACCGCCTCGAAAAAGGCCCGCGAGTAGAGCGTTGAGAGCACCGTGTGCATCGCGTCCTTGGCGCCTGCCAAGAACTCGGGAATGTCGTACGCCGCATTGGACGCGGGAAACGCGGTGTGGAGCACGGTAAACATGTTAAACTTGGTAAAGAACCAGAGCTTGGGCGAGAAGACGTCGGCGTTATCCCACGCCCGGAACCGATCGAGGTCCTTGGTCGTCTTGGCTGCGATCGCATCGAGCGAGAAGGCGCGCGTGAGTGGCGCGAGGCTCTGTGTGTGCGTCCACGGGCGGCCAGGCGCTGTCATGGACGCAGAGCGCGGGCCACGCCGACCGGCGACGACCACCGCACGACGCAGCATGTGGCGATCTTCCAAAAAATTGATCAAATTTGAAAAAAGGCAGCAATAAAGGACGGTAATTTTTTTAGGTCGGCCGAAGCCAAGCGAGCATGCAATCCCTGGGTTGAAGCTCTGTGGTATTCGATACCGAATTCAGGCTGACGGCATAGCGTCCTCATACACTGCGACCCCAGCGCCAACGCTTCGTACACAGGACATCCGTCTAAGTGATCGTGGCGACAGTGTAGTAGCGCTCACACAAGACAAAGGTGAAGTATGCTTTAGGCAATCTGGACGACAGTCCACGCAGTGGGCTCGCCGTTAACAATGTCGCTCTCAAAAACCCATGTGCAGTCGGCGTCGCGGACGTTGGCCTTTTGCGTCTCGGTCCCATCTTCGCCCTTCATCGTCGTCGTGACGTGCTCCACCATCGTAAATTCGACCTGAAGGAGCACGCTCTTTGTTGCTTCGTCGTCGCCGTCCTTGAGAAGGACGTTCGAGAGGCCAACGTTCTTGACTTCGAGATCTGTCAAGTCAAACTTGGTGCAGCCGGCCTTGGCGAGCTCCGAGAAGCCCATCATGAGCGTCTCGACGCACTTGGGGCCCATCACGGAGCGCAGAAGATTCACTTCGTCGTTTTCAACCGCGGGGTCCAGTGCCGCAGCAAAAAAGGCGGGCGTGTACACGGTGCGGAGAATCATCTCGATCGCGCTCTTGGCACCGTCCATAAAGTCCGGCACGTCCAACGGCGTCTTGGCGTGGGGCACGGCAGCGTGCAGCTGCACAAACATGGCCATCTTCCCGAGCAGCGAGACATCTTGGGCGAAGATGTCGACGAGGTCCCAATCGAAGAAGCGCTCCTTGTCCTCAAAGGCCTTGGCCAGCGGGTTCGTGGGCGTCTCGGGTGCCGGCGCCGAAGACGACGACGACATGCAGCGCATACCAGCACGGGGTTGCATCGACCACGGCCGCGCAACGAGGCTCGGGCGCGACGCCGCCGCCGAGCGCGCGGCCTGGCGCAGTTGCCGAGCTGTGTGGCGCAAAAACATTGCAAGAGTGGGCTGATTGCACCCAACCAATTCGAATTGCAGTAAAAAGTAATGGAGGAACCGGGGGTCGAACCCGGGGCCTTCCGCATGCAAAGCGGACGCGCTACCACTGCGCTATACCCCCGCACACGTCACACTGTATTTTATATAAATTATAATCCGCATGAGCCAAAAAGCCAATAGAGCTGGCTCGACGCGGCCCCGCGAGGCAGTTGGCGACGACCACGAGACTCGCCAGCGACGCGGGCGCGTCAACGCTTTTCGCCAATGAAATGGGGCAAACACGTGGCCTCTAAAGAGCTTTGACTTTTTGGATATTGTTGGCTTGTTTCTTGCACTATGCTATTTCTTTGGTGCTGGAAAAGGGACGCTGGCATGGATAACATTGTCATTCTATTGTCATCATAGTTATACAAGATGCTAGAGAGCTTTTAGTAATGACATGTCCTGGTCGATTTTGCTGGAGGCGTGTGTGTGGGATCGCGGCGTAGCCAATCACAAGCCAGCTGAAAGATACCGCTTGTTTGGCGCCGCTTCAACGTGGCCAGCGATCGACGAATGGACCGGAGCGCCAACATCATGTAGGCGACGACGCAAACGCTGCTGCATGTGGCTCATGCCGTGCATGTAGAGTCCACTTGAGCCGCGACGCCAAGCACACGGTTGTGCTGCCCAGCGTTGCGACATCCAAGTCGGTCGCCTCGGTGCTGCACGAGGCCCTGTATCAGTACGCCCGCATCAACCACGACACCCCCGCGCTGGCTGTCTCGGGCCTCTACGACATGTACTCGGGCGCAAGTACGTTCTTTAACCGTCTGCGGTCGAGCGATACAATGCATGGCATTTCTAGTGCTTGACCTCAGCGCGTCGCTGCACAGCGTCGCAACCTTCCACGCGGCCACCAAGTGCATGCGTCTTGGCGCCGCACCGCTCAGGACCAACAACATGAGCGACAACAACAGTACGAAGTGCCGCCGCTCGGACTCGCCGTTCGAGTCGTTTGTCAAGTCGATCTTTTCGTTGTCGGACGACACGCCTCGTCCTGCCCAGTTGCCACCTCGTACATCGCTGCTTCCTACTGCCCATTTGAATTCAATCCTACCGTAGAAACCATCGCGGCGCCGTCGCTCATCGAGTGCATCGCGCAGCTACGCGCTGCGTCCATTGAGGAGCTCTGCACCGAGTGTCGCGTCGCGCCAGAGGCCGCCATGCACCTCGTGCGACAGCTCCAACGCTTTACAAGCGGCGCGCGGGCGTTTGGCCCACCCGATGAGCCACCCAACGCGTCATCCGCAAGCTCCACGGCGTCCGAAGACGACCCGCAGGACGAAGACGACGACGACGACGATACATTCCTCGGCGAAGCGCCCGTCTTGCTACGGTATGCACATGACTCGCCAGCGTTTCGCCGCGAGGTCGCCGCCATCGACGCCGCGTGGCCACGTGTCATGACCGACTTTAACCGCGTGGTCGCTGCGGCCAAAGCCGTCCTTGCGTCCAGCAAGTGCCACCTCGCGACGCTGCAAGATTTGTACACGGAGCTCACGGCGCCGATCGACGAGACACCGTGCCTCCGACACCTCGCGGGGTCGGCTAAGCGCGCGTGGACGCCGCTAACCGAGCGCTGCGATCGCTCCATGGGCGCCCTGCGCGCGTTCGCCTCGAATCTCGCGTCCGAGTTTGTCGCTCCGCTCGAGACGCTCCTCACGCACGACCTCGGCCGCGACGCGGTTGCATCGCGCCAGCGCCTCAACGCCGCCTTTTACGCGTACTGGGCGATGGCACACGAGGTGACCTCCGACCCAATTGGCGACGATGCCCGTCTCGAGGCGGTGCGGCGGGTCTTCGAGTCGGCGCGTCTGTCCATGGTGCGGCATGTCAACGACACTTTTCTGCATGCGCTTCGTCTTGTGGAGCGCACCGGCTGCGCGTTTGCCCATGCGAATGCCGTCGTGGGACAAAGAAGCCAATTGGAAGCCCACTGCGAAGCACTTCAGGCCTGCGTCCCCATCGACGTCTGGGATGGCGCTCCTGGTGGGTACCTCTTTCATGTGGATGCAGCAACGTCTGCACGCACACGCCGCTGGTTTTACCTCGAGGAACACTCATCCATGCTCTGGTCCCTCCAGGTCGTGCTGCCAGTGCTCGCATGCGACGACACTCATCCTCGCAACACGTAGGCGGACCGGCGGACCCCCGAGGGCATCGCCGACCTCTCGCAAGGCTCCGTGGCGACCGACGACTCGATGCGATATGGCCTTTGCCTGACATTGGCGTCAAGCCAACGCGTGCTATTGCAAGCCGACACGGCGCGTCTCCATCACCTGTGGCTCGAGGCGCTCACGGCCAAGAAGAAGCATGCGTCCAACCAAGACGACGACGACCAGGAGAACGACGACAACGACACCAGCGACAGCGATGAGGTGGCAATATGTCGGACATTGGACGAGAAGATGCTGTCTCCCATTGCGTTCCTCTGCGCGCCAGCTGCAGCGTTTGCTGTCATGGCCCGCGGCACGCTACCGATCTCGGTGCACACGTACTGGGAGCGCTTCGTGGCCGACGACCAGTTCACACGGAGCTTTCTCATGCAGCGGGGTGCGACAGACGTTGCGCTCTCGACATGGGCGGTGCGCACAGATGGCGCCTACGGGCGGTCGCGGCGCATCCAGCTGCCCGTCGAGACGGCACTCTCGACCGGCTCGACGCGCGTACATGCGAGCGAGGTCTACCAGCGCCGGTCGCGCGACCACCTCGAGGTCCTCGCCAAAGATGAAAGCCTCGATGTGCCGTATGGCTCGTACTTTGTTGTCGAGTCGCGGACCACGATCGTCAAGAGTATGACGACGTCATGCGCTGTCGAGATGACGATGGCCGTGCACTTTACCAAGAGTACGATGTTCCAGCGCATGATTGAAAAGGCGGTCGCGACCGAGACCAAGGAATCGTGCGAGGCGATGTTGGCGGCCATGCGCGCTGCCATCGAGGCGAGCTCGCTCTAATATACACGGTGCAAGCGTGTGCAATGCACGAGTCTGTCCCACGGAACGCGTTCGAACTCTGGACCCAAGCCCGCGCTTCGATCCTGTCCTCGCCCAGTCGCCGCGAGGTGCATGGCTTGGCGGCGAGCCACCGCAGGCGTCGCGGAGGTGGCAGGTGCTGGGACCTGGTTGACACGACCGGTGTCAGAGGTGCGCCAGGCTGCCAGGTGGCTCATTGCGTCGCTGGCAATTCGCTTAGATAAAGTCGTTTCAAAAGCATATGTAAAGCAGCATTCACGAAACAAGGTAGATTTCCAGCGCTGTGCGGTCGAGACTTTGAAAGAGCGAATTACGGTGGTACTGCATTTTTATTGCACGCATTTTTACAGATGCTGGTCGATAGCTCGACATTTGTATGGACAATAAAAGGTTGGACAAAAAGAGAATAAAATGACCAACACTGACTGAACAACAGTGCTGCATTTTGGCCTCGGCGCCGTACTACGACGAGAAGACCATGGACCCATACCAGCAGCAACAGCAGATGCAGCAGCAGCAGCAGCGGAGCATGAACCTGCAGCGCCAGCACATGATGGAGCGCAGCGGCAACATGGGCGGGATGTACGCCCACGCGCCGCAAGGCCACGCGCCACCCATGGGCTTGCACCCGTCGTCGCAGATGCACCACAACGGCTATGGCATGCCCATGGCACCGCCGACGCACTCGAGCGCGATGATGTACTCGGACGACGTCTCGTCGTATTTACAGCCGCCCAACATGGGCATGAACCCGGCGATGGCGCCCGCGCCGTATGGGTACAACGCGTCGACCTCGTACGTAGAGGTGGCCGGGACCCCGATATGGAGCGCGGCCAAGGCGGCAAGCGCCACGCGCCCAAGGGGCAATGGAAGACGCCGCCGCAGATGCTCTACATGAAGGAGAAGGCGAATGCGTCCAAGCCGGTGGTGCCCGAGCCTGCGAGCTCTGCGTTTGGCGACGAAAACACGGTGACGCCGCAGCAGTTTGCCGAGGGCACGCAAGGATTGACGCTCGACACGACGCTGCTCGCAAAGATGACGGGCAAGGACGCATCGCAGATCGGCGCGGAACAGATCCGCAACATCATGCAACACCCGGAGCTCCTCAGCATCTACCAAAAGCTCCAGGAAGAGGAAGAGCGCCGGCAGCGACGACTCGAGCGCAACCGCGCGTCCGCGCGTCTTCGCCGAGAGAAGAAGAAGGGCCTCGTCGAGACATACGAGATGGAAGTCTCGGAGCTCGAGACGATCTTGAAGAAGGTCAAGAGCCACAAGTTTGGCTGCGGCAACGACAAGCTCCTGCTGGAAGCCCTCAGCGGTACGTAGTAAATTCGCATTCGCATGATCCAACCACGCCTAGGCGAGCAAAAGCAGAGCGTCAACATGACGCGGGACACCAAGCACCAGCAGACATCGCTGCTCTTGAAGCAGCACTCGCAAAACGCGTCAGCGGTATAGCTCTACCGTGCATCTTGCCCCTTTTCAAGACGACTGGACTCGTAGATTCGCCAAGCCAACGACGAGAGCTGGATGGTCGCGCTGGCAGCGACCAATGACGCCGAGTTTCTCCAGCTCAAGCACACGCTCGGGCTCACGGAGGCGCAGTGCGCGCGCCTCGCCCGCGTCAAGAACAGTGTGCACAACGAGTCGACGCGGCTCGCGATCGTCGAAAAGTGCTTTGCGGCGCTCCACGTGCACGAGTGGCTGCACTTTCCCAACTCGGAGGGGCTCGTCGACCTCTTCCGCGCGCCGCTGAACGCGCAGCAGCTGCAAAAGTTTGTGCAGTGGACGCGTGTCAACAAGCAAGCGATCCAGCAGCTCCAGGTACTTGGATCCTCGGCATTCCATTATGAATTCCTTTTTTGTAGTTTGTCCAGCCGCCCGCAGACCCCAAGGCCGAGTCGAGCCTCGTGTTTGATTTTCCGCGGGAGCTCTAAGCCAAGGGATAGCGTGTGATTAGGATAGCACCCAAGACGAAGTTGCTTTATTTTTTGGACGCGATTTTTCTACAAGTGCGAGAGACCTTTGGGCGCCGTCGTGTGCGTCTTGATGAGGCTCGAGATCGCGCGGAAGTTCGGGTGCTTGGAGTCGGCCGTGAGCTGGAAGACCACCGACTCGACCGACGTCAAGAAGGCGCCCGACGCTTGCATGCGCTACGCAAGTAGGTGGAGGATGACGATCGTGGCGGTAGTACCTCGAGGCCCATCGAGCGCAGGAACGAGGTGCTGCTCGAGACAGCGTCGACAGGCACGTGCACGTCGTAGCCGGCCTCGATCAAGTCGAGGCACGTCTGAAGCACGCACACGTGGCTCTCGATGCCGCAGAGCACGACAGAGCGCGGCTGGAGCGCGCGCAGCTCGGCGTCGACGGCGGGCGTCAGCATCGAAAAGAGCGTCTTGTCGTGGACCGTCAAGGTGGCCGGAAGCTCGACCTCGGGGACCATGGCGCCAAAGCGCGCCGCGTACTGTGTCGTGGCGATGGTGGGCATCTCGAGGTGCTTGGCCGCTTGCACCTAGTACGTCAAAATGACATGCTGCTGCGCATCGATTGCTAGGTCGTACGAGCGTCTGGGCACCGGCGATGACCGATGGCATCTCGTAGATGCGGTCGCGGAAGATCTCTTGGATATCGCAGACAAAGAGAACGCTCGAGGCCGGCGCGAGCTTCCCGACCGACGACTTGACCGACTTGGCGAGCATGGTGAAAAAAAGAAAGTGCAATGTCAGCAGAGTGAACGTCGTTGGCAACTTCAAGCGGATCAGATCCGCCGCCGAACGCGACCGTCGACCGTCCAAGGGGCTGAGCTGGGGCTGGGAGGCCAGTAAGATAGGAGCCCAAAGTACAAAGAGGCTAGTACATCTTAGAACGACTAGAGAATGCTGCTGTAGCCTTGGCTGTGGCGCATGAGAAGGTTGGAGCCGAGCGTAAAACCCATCCAGACGACGCCAAAGGTGACAAGGACAGCAACGAGACAGCCGAGGAGCCAGACGAAGCGGCTCGCACTGGCTTGGACGTGGTCGGGTGGCGCAAAGTACCCGACCTGGCGCAGCCACCACTCGGGTAGAAGAGCGAGTCGGCGACAGCGTCTTCGCGTGCAGGCCGTGCATGGTGGTAGCCGTCCGTGGAACTCGACCACGAGGCGCTGAAAGAGCGACGCATAGGTCGTCATGGTCGTCGCTACCATCGATGCGCTCGACGACGTCAGAAAGGCACGGACGTCGGTCTCCATCTGCAAGGTCTCCACCACACGCGCCAGCGTTGCGCGCAGATTCGTCTCAATACGCAGCTGCGTCGCCGCCACGGACGGCATGGCGTGGGCGTAAAAGCGTCCGGCCCAGTTGCCGACGAGCGCCGCATTCCAGTACATGACGTCATGTGCAAACACGTGCAGCGACCCGGTCGCATACGCCGATGGCACGGCGTCGGCGTAGGCAAAGATCGGCACGTACGCGGTGGCGTGCGGCGCGTACGGGCCAAACCAAATGTGCGCAGCGCGCGGGTCGCCCGCGTTCAAAACGGCGACGAGCGAGTAGGCAGCGCGGAAGATCGAGAGGCCGCGCTCTTGGTGGCTGCGCAGCGCGTCGGCCTTGGTCATGTTGCCATTGCCATTGACGTCTAGTCCGCACATCATGCAATAAGAATAAGAATATTCGACTTGGATATGCCGGGTACCGTAGCGATCAGGCGAGCCGTACGGGCCGGCCATGGGCCCGGACGTCAAGTCGAAGGATGTGCCTTCATAGTGATCGCGGTGGATACGCATGAGCGTCGACGGCGAGAGCGGCGCCGCCACCTACGCCCAGGTTGGCCTCGATGCGTGCGAGAAGAAGACCAACAACCTGCACGGAGACGGGGTAGTCGGTAGCAAGCATATCGGTTGTCGGTGAGAGCTCGATCGACGGGTTGGCGAGCGTCAAGACGCGCCACACGCGTCGTGTGGCGTAGTAGTGGTTGGGCGCATGCGCTCCATCGCGCCGGTAGGCGTAAACAGCCGTCCAGTCGAAAGCGCCGTCGACCGAAGGGTCGTACAAGCCGGCGCGGATCGCGACATCCTCGACATTTGTCGAGGCGAGAAAGGATTTGGGGTCCGAGAGGTTGAGCGCCCGCAGCGTAAACTGGTTGGCGACAACCGCAATATGGTCGTGCGGAAGGCGCTGCGCGGCCCAGACGGCCGACGCGCCCGTGTCATCCGGGTGGATATGCATGACCCAGGCTTCGTTCGGGTCGATCACCGTCAAAGCTTCGCCGGCTTCGAGGAGCGCGCTGGGCGTGTCGTACGCTGCGCCGTAGTACCCGTACGTCTCGGCGAGCGCGCCCATGAGCAAGATGGCGTCGCGTGCCGTATTCGCTCGCTCCATGGCCACGTTGGTGAGCTCGGCGACGTCAAAGAGGGCCTTGCCGCCGGGCGCGGACACCGGAAGGCTAACGAGCCGACCGCCGCACGTACTTTCGCCGATCGCGACTTGGTGCTCGTTGATAACGCCGTAGACGCCTGAGATGTAGCCAAACGTGGTGGGCACTTGCGGGATTTGCCCCAGCGGCTCCGTGGCCGTCCAGTTGAAGATGGACGTATCGACGTTGTCGAGTCGAAAGACGTCGCCGCGATCGTCGCCAACTAGAATGAGAGCTCATTGCGCGCAGCTCAAGGAGAGAGTCTACCGTAGCGAGGGTAGGCGAGACGAAACGGCGCAATGTCCCGCCGTGCGCCGACGGGATGCGTCTTGGCCGGCACCTTTCCGATGCGAAAGTCGCAGCTGCTGCAGTCCGCCGCGTGCGTTACCATGGAGGAGCCTGTCGTCGAGGCCTACGATTCTAGCTTAGGCAGCGCCACACGTGCCGTCCGAGACCTCTCGCCCGACGACGATCGTCGTGCAGCCCTGAGCCGTGAGGGCCAGCGTCGCCAAGATCGCCAAAAACATCGAATCGGATGCTGCCCGCTCATTGGCCCGCGATATTCTGCGTGCATTTGATTGGCTAGTGCTCCACTTCAACTTGGGCAGCGTGTTCAACCAGGATGAGGCCAAGTCGTCGTGCTGGTAATTTCAAATGTAGATTCGATTGATTTACTACTTGAAATGAAACATGACACTGCCAAAGATGCCGAGGACCCCCTGGAGCAGCTCGGCGACAAGGCCACATATGCTTTGAACGACATGGTAGACGCTCCCCAACAGCGAGGCCACGAGCTGGTTGATGGAAGACACCAAGGTCGGGAGGCCAACCGCGACAGCAACATCGTACGTTAGTGTGACGAGTTGGCGCGCGACTCGGGCAACGATAACGAGGACGTTCCAGAGCCCTCTGATGCAGTGCAGAGCGACCTTGCAGGTGCTTTCGACGAGGTCGGAGGCCAAGCTCATGACGCGGCGTTTGATCTCGGGACTGATGGCGGCATTGAGCGCATGACCAGCTTCGTTGAGCAGAGATAATGCCATCGTCATTGGCGTCGTGACGAGCCAGCGCATGAGCCCAAGCGGGTGCGTTAGCAATTCAAAAAGCCTCCCGACGCCTCGGAAGATTGCTGCGAGCATGCGCTCAAACGGCCCATGCGCGAACTCGAGGATCGCCACGATTTGTCGTGCCAGAAACTCAAAGCTTTGGCCCACAAGTGTGAATATCGTCGTTGCTAGTGGGGCGAGTGCGATGCCGGTCGGGTGCAGCACTAGTCGAATGGTGAGACATAAACCAAAGATGAGCATATCCTACCGTGTCGCCACGCCCGGCGACCGACGCCGCGACAGCAGTAGCCAGCAAACGACGCCAGAGTCAGCGAGGTATCGACAGCAATAGAGACACATGCGTACACTGCGAGAAAGACTGGAATCGTCAGCGCAAACAGGAGCACAAGGTCGCGCGCCGTGGCCGTCCATGGCTTGGCCGACGACGTTCCAGGTACATGGCGCCGGAGGAACCGACGAAAGAAGGATCGAGATGGCGGCGGTGTCGCCGGCGCGTACACGGGCGGCGATGAGAACTTGGCAGCACACGTCGCCACGCGCGCCTACATAAAGTGCATTGAGGCGGCAATTGAAATTGCGACTCGGACCGTGGCGTCGTCGTCGTCGGGCGATAAGAGCGACGCCGTCACATAGTCGTTGTACGCCAGTTGAAGCTCCTGTAGCAAGGTGAGAGGTGAGCGTCGCCAGCACGCCACGTACCGACGTCACGAGGTAGCTGTCGGCGCGGCGGGCGTAGTAGAGCCCCTCGCTGGGACGGCTCTCGATCGCTCGCGTAAAGTGCTTGATGGCCTTGGCGTAGTTGCGCTCGAGGAAGCGCTCGAGGCCGCGCTCGTAGTGGATGCTGTGCGCGTCGGCCTTCCATGGCTTGACGGCGCCAGCGTACAGGCGCTTGTAGCACGTGGCCAGACACGCGTGCGACGCGACGGCGCCGAGCACGCCAACGTAGAGCGCCGCACTGTATCGTGGCAGCACTGCATAGGCCGCGAGGCGCGGGTCCTTGCTCGCGTAGTAGGCCGTGGGGATGGCCACGACGGCGCAGACGCGCTTGAGGACGTCGTCGGCGAAGCTGGCTGCCATTTCTTAGTCGTGCGATATCAGATGTGGGAGGTCGGATGGAGCGGCCCGTTGCACGGATTGTAACTGTCATTCGATGGCGCTGTCCACAATCAACTGAAATAGTATCAACCCATTGTATCAACCTCCTGGATCAATCAAAGTGCTTGATAAATAAGGAATAACTGGTATTGCTTTTGTAAGAGACAAGCCTGATGCTGCGGATATCGGTTCTTCGTTGACGAGCATATCTCTGCGCTCGTGCTGTCGACAAGAAAGTCGGATGAGGATAAACGTACACCTTTCAGTTGTTGATATATTAGCACAGCAGCTGCACCAAGCATCATGGCCCGTAAAAGGTTACAAGCCCTAAAACAATTCAACAAGCACACATGGCTGACGGGTCCGGCGTGTGTCGCCAGAATGTTGTATCCATTCCGTCCGGGACTTGGTCGTCCATGCGGGTCCGGGTAGCGTAGCCGTTGCGGCGCCTCGAGGTGCTTGAGAAACGTCTTCTCGTCAGTGTATCGAAACACAGCAATTTCAATGGGTGCTACAACGTAAATGAGAGTGCCAGCGTTGCGACGGGTCGTGCCGACTAGTACATAAGTAGCGTGCAATACGGGCACAAGTGTTCAAATCAAGCGTTTGAATGCCATTTAACCTACCCCTGACCTAGCCCCAACTACATGTTCGGGGGTTGTCGCTCCATGCTCACACAAGACCAAGTACATTACATACTTAGACTCACAATGGCTGCGATAAATAGGTCCAATTTGCTACATGAATGAACTAGAGCGACTTGGATCCGAGAGAGACCATGCGCTGGACTTCATTTGCAACGTCGTAAGCCACTTGAGTCGCCGCCGAAACGATGGCAAAGACGACGTGGCTGAGCTGCTGTACAATGACCGATGCCACGTGCACCACCGATTGCACTATTGCCATCACCGCTTGCCACGTTGCTACAGCGACCGTCGAAGCCCAGACGCCCGCAGACCACATCGCAGCGTAAGCAGCTGCAAGGCAAGCCGAAAATGACGCGTAGACGGTCGCAAGAAACGCCGCCACCGATGCATACAGCGCCCTCATGGGCGGCGACGTGCATACATTCTTGCACGCGATGAGAAGCTGGAAGACGATGTCGAGAAGCCCAACAACGAGGTAGTGCAGTCCGCGCCAGAGACGCCAGAACGCACGGACGCAGCGGGCGGCAATGCGAAGGCCGGTGGCGACAAAATTGTCGAGATTTCGCAAGACCACAGGGACCAGGTAGCGCCACACACGTCCGAGCCCGGTGGAGATAGCCTTCAAGAGACGCTGGAGACGGCGGGCGAAGATGGTCAGCACCCGAAGCATGGCGCGGCCGACGTAGCGCAAAGCGTGTTGCATCGCACGTCCAAGCGGACGCAATAGAACGTCGCGTGTGAAGAGGAAAAGAGCGCGGAGCTTGGTTGCGGATGCTAGAAGCACGACGGCGGCACTGTCGATGGCCTGGTAGAGGAGGCAGTAGTAGCCACGCAAGATTGGCGCCACAACGGCACGAAGAAGAATCCGCCACGTGTTGTAGAGCTGTCGCTGAACGTACTTGGCGGTCGCGGACAGAGCATGCCGGAGGGTGCGACCGACGTAGCAGGCAGCGATGCGCATTGCACGTGCGAGCGGACGCAGAACGATGTCGCGTGTCAAGACGAGAAGAGCGTGGAGCTTGTAAACCATCGTGAGCAACGCAGCCGAGGTGATGTCGACGACTTGGTAGAGGACGAAGTAGTACGCACGCAAGATTGCCGAGACAAACTTCCGAGCTAGGACGCAGCACAAAGTGTAGAGCTGTCGTAGAACCTGTTGGAGCCATGCGAAGCTCCTTTCAACGACCGTGCACGTGGCTACGGCGAACGAGTGCAGCCGTGGCAGGACAATATGCATGCAGAGATGATAGCTGACGTTGCCGAGCCACGCGAGTGTCACCTGTGCGCGGTTGACGAGGGTATTGACGAGGCACAGTACTGTGGTTGTCGTCCAATACCACGCAGCGACGGCGAGCTCTTGGACGTAGGCGATAGCAGCTTCGATGCAGCGCTTGATTGCGACGAGCCCTTCGAGCACATTGTCCACGCCGGCATCGACAAGGGGATACGCCGCTTCGGCGACTGTCAGGACGATTTGTCCAAGTCGACGGAGCCGAAGTCGGCATATGACGCGGAGGCAGCGCCAGACACCGTCGTAGCAGCGCCCTGCGACTCGTTCGGCGAAAAGCATCGCTGAGAGCAACCACGCGAGGCACGAGACGCGGAGATAGGTGACAGCATATGGGATCATCTCAGCGACTAATAGGCACAACGAGGTCGTTAGATAAGCAGTTGGCACCGTCGTAGTACATACAAACGTAATGGAAGCGTGCGCTGATGCGAGCTGCGATCGCTCGTGTTCTTGCCACCGCGGCATCGACGGTCGTCGCTATCACACGTACGGTCGCCAGCCACAAGGCATGGATGGCCTGGAGAGCGCGCCACGTCTGTCGTACGAGAGCGCGAGCCGATCGCCACGCGAGATGAAGGGACGAGAGAAGGACGTTGACGGCGCCTCGGACAAGTGCGTGGAGCAGCAGACAGGCGAGCAAGATCGGTAAAAGCAGCAGGACGAGCACGCGCGTGCTCCATGTGGACTGCGACCCAACGCTCAACAAGGCGAATGGCGCAATGACCTTGCTCCAGACGCCAAGTTGAGGTGGCGATGATGGCACCTGGTTGGGTCGGAGTATGTTCAGTTGCTCCTAGGGCAAGACGCATTCGTTGCGCTGTCCATGTGAGGGTCGTCAAGCGTACTTGGAGAATGCTGTCGGCGGGATTGAGCGCCAAGCTTCGTGCAAAGTCCGAGGTCGCCTTGTCTGCTTCCTACCATTCCTTTGCCCTTAGCCCACATAACTTGAAGGAAGCGTACGCCAAGGTGCAAGAAGCACTGCCCGCGCTGCTTCAAGCCGTCAGCGTCCGAGGGATTTATGCGGAGGATTCGTGACCAGTCCTCGCTCGCAGCTTTCCAGTCGCGACGGCCCATCTTGGCAGTCGCTGCTTGTCGCAGTTGGATCTCAAGGTCGTCGTATACCCAGCGCTGAAGGAGCGTGAGGAGCACCGCGTGCAGGGCGACGGTGCTGAGAAGACTGAGGCCGCCAGCGACGCCGTAGATGGCGGGCGAAGTGTACTCTGCAGTGAGCTCGCTGCGCCAGCGCAGGTGGTAGGCGAGCGGCAGCATCGGGGCGGCGCAGACGTGGCGCAGCCATCGGAACTCGTCGCCGACGTCGTTGGCTGCCATGGTGTCAAGTTGAAGTCTGCGAATCTGTCGCCAGGATGATAATCCGCAACCGCGCGCAAGACCATCATTCTTGTCTAAATTCAATTCTTAAAATCATTTTTGAATTGTTTCCACGTCGGATGGCAGAATCCAGCACGAAATAAGTTATCAAGAGTCGGCTCTGGATTTCCGTTGCTAGTACATGGGGTGGATGCCAAGCGCCTTTAGAACAAGTCCTTGCATCCTTACAAGGGTTACTAAACGGTTGATTGACCCTTGATCCTTACGCGGTGAAGAATTGGCTGGTTCACCAAAAGTTGCTGCCCATTTGCACTGATCATGCAAAGAGTACTGCGAGTTGATTCAATCATCTCTCAATTCATACAATTCGTCTTTTAGGCAAGGGTGACCCATTGACTTTCTCTTGGTGGTCGTCGCAAAGAGGGGTCTATCTCGCTCGTAGACACCTCTCCCTGTCAGCTCTCCCTGACTGGATTCACAAACACGCACTAGTACTCATAGCACGGACGCAAGGGTCCATGTTGCGAGCTTGGCGCGCCACAGGAAAAGAGTTGGGAGCTGCAAAGCAACTCTAGCTTGGTCTTGGAGCTATCTCGAAAGGGACTTGAATTTGATAGATCTTGTCGTGCGCCGTCCAACCAGGTCCAGGTTTGACTGCAGGCGTTGGAGGGTCAAGAGAATTTCTGCATCGACGAGACAGGAAGTACGTCATCCGCCTCCTAACGTTTACACGTGGGAGTGTACGGCGCTTCCCCATCCCTCTTGCGTGGCTTTTCAGGGCGAGACCGAGCTCATGCCAAAGTCGTGGATTGAAAGCCCGCACTTCAAGTCCCACAGTCCCCAACTCTTGCACCGTCCATTCGTCTCTGGGTAGGATCACCTTTGTTTTACGAGAACGCGAAGCATGGCACCACGCACAAGCATGAGCGCCACCGACGTCGTCTCTGCTTTCGAGGTCCACGCGGCCATGCGCCTTTGCATTCTCAGCTACGAGTCGCGCAAGCCCAAGGAGCACGACGGCGACTTCAAGTCCCGTGTCCTCGCTGCGTTACCTCCATGT